TTGTGAACTGTCCTAGGCCATTGTCTTATTGCTGCCAATGTTCATGAAGTTTGAGTCACATTCCTCTCCTTGTTTCAGGTTCACATCAACATGAGTTCAGAGGATTTCTTTACTGGTGAAAAGTTTGTGCCCTCAACTTTTGATGTGGGTGAGGGAGTTGTTGTGGTTAAACAGCCTGCCACCCCAGCTGAGGTTTGTTGATTAGTTTGCCTTATTATCTCTTTTTTATGTTCATTGTATTACAGTGAAAACATTTATTTTCTTGTAGACTGGCACTTCTGACTCTGTGGTAAATGCTGAGAATGTTGGTGAAGTCGAACCCAGCTTGGAAAGAAAGACAAGAAAAAGGCGTAAAGACAGCAAACAGAGACGTATTGGCCCCAAAGGGAAAAAAAGAAAACCCACCCTGGTATGTTTAGAATACTAGGTTTTTGACCTAAAATATTTGCCTTAAAAATTACTTTGTAACTGTTGACCAATGTTGTTTCCAGGTGCAAGAGGATGAGCCAGGAATTCCAGGCACATCTGTCGAGGAAACTTTAGGCACCTTGGTCGAGGAAACTCCGGGCCCCACTGTAGAAGACACACCAGGTGTAGGTGTATCTCTTAAAAATGTTGATACTTCTTTAGAAACAAACGACAGTGTGAGTATTTTCTGGGTAGAACTTCCAATTTTTCTGTTGTTTATTTTAATTGATACATTGAAATTATTTTCCAATATAGCCTGAAGTTGTAACTAAAAGGAAGTATACAAAACGAAAGGGTCAAGTTTTATCTAAACGTGGGCACAAGAAATCTGATCAATCTACAAGTGCTACAAGTGAGACTGATGTAGTGAGTATTAAATTATTTCCTTTTATGCCTCCTGTGTTACAAGACTTGGTAAAAAAAAAAGAAAAACACTACAAAAACTTAATTTCTATTTGCAGTCTACAGCACTAACTGAACTTGCAGTCGAACCAACTGCAGAGTTAATCTTACCGCCACCAAAGAAGTATAAGAAAAGGAAAGGGAAAGTCACACTGCCAACTAAAAAGACCAAAGGGAAGGAGTCTCTTTCTGTAAGTTTGCAAATATCATTCCTTTAGAATACATGGCTAGATTCTGCTTCCATAATATTAAATCGCATTGTGCATTGTTTTTCAGATTGTAGACCCAAATGTTTCTGAGAGCAATGAGAGCATCCTTAACACTTCAATGGCAGTTGTGGAAGCACCAGATGGTGATGATCATTTAGAGTATGACTACTTGCATTCAAGTCCTCAACACCAAAGTGAAGTTGAAATAACTTCCAGTCCTTCTGTTTTGCTGAGAAAGGACTTTGAGACTGTAAGTAGGAATGAAAAGTAGCTGTGCTTAAAATAACATTTAAATCTTATGTTAGTATTTTTTTTGACTTACATTTTGTCATTTTAATTTTAGGAAGAACTAGCTATGCAAGCCTTGGCCAGTTACGTAATTGAGCTTTTGGATGAATCCTCAACTTGGTCAGTAGATGTTTCGGGAACAAGTTGTCGACTGAATCTACTAACTACTGGACTAAACGCTGCAGTAGAAAGATCTATAACATGGACTTCTGAGGGAATGAAGGTCTACATCCACAACAAGCTACTTCCTGAGGATAGTTTTATGTCAGATGTAAACACTCCAGATCCATCAAACCTCTCAGATGTAGCTCAGTTTTTGTTACTACAGTCAGCTGTTGTGGAGAGTGCGAGTATTTGTAAAGGTGTGACAACTTTCCAGCAATATTGGAACAAAGCAGAAGAGAGTGGGCTAGGCTCCACTGAAAGTGATATTTACACAGGAACACCCTGCTTTAGAAGTGAGAACTGCCTTAATATTTTCATTGACAGGAAAAGGTGCCCCAAATGTGATAAAGTTAGAGATAAATTCAAGAAAAGATTTCAACGTATTACAAATGCTAGGGGAATGGATGCAAAAAAGATAAATAATCGTTACCTACCCAAACAAGCTCTTCAGGCCAAGACCCAAAATTTAGCAAAACAGAAGCGTAGTTTGACTGCTACAGTTAAATATTTAAAGAAGAAAATCAAGAAAATAATTGAGCAAGAGTCAGTTGGAATAGACAGTGAAATAAGTAAAGACCTGTGCCAAATTTTTAAAAGCAATGTGTCTAAAATGAGTGACCTTCAAAAAATGTTTTGGGGTGAGCAACTCAAAGCTATTTCAAGACAACACAACCCTAGGACCGTGAGGTGGTCACCAATGATGATAAAAATTGCTCTGCACATTCAGATGCAATCTCCTTCATCCTATGAATATTTACGGGAAAGTGGTATTCTGAAGCTGCCCTCTCAAAGACGCCTGTTTGACTTCACTCACTTTACTGAAGCCAAAGAAGGTGTTCAGCATGAAATTTTGAATTTGTTGGAGAAGAAACTACAAGAGAGAACAAAAGAAGAACATGAAAAGTATTTTAATCTCTTATTTGATGAAATGACAATTCATCAAGGTTTGGTAGTCTCTAAAAGTGGAGAAATTGTTGGATTTACCAGCCGCACTGAAGTTGAAGGTAGTATGGCCCAACTAGAAGCCCAACTCCAAGGCAAGGAAATTGAAAAAGAAAAGGCCAAAAAAAGTTCTTGTTTTTATGTTGCAAGGTGTCTCTCTAGACTTGCATGAACCTGTTGCAATTTATCCCACAACAGAGTTAAGTGCTCAACAACTCTACACCCGAGCATGGGATGTGATTTATAATTTAGAGACTAGAGATATGAAGGTGCTATCCCTCATATTTGATGGTGCGAGCAGTAACAAAAAATTTATAACAATGCATGTTAAATTTGATACATCAAATGAGTTTGTTTATTCTACTAAAAATGTTGCAGCTGCTGAAAATAGGCCTCTATTTTTTATTGTGGATCCCCCACACCTTCTAAAAACAATTAGAAATTGTTTCTCTAATTCAAATAGCCATAAACATACCAGAGATATGTGGAAAAATGGAGAAAAAATATCATGGGAGGCTCTGGAAATGTTGTATTCTGTGTCTGTTAAAGACAAATATAAAATTCACAAGCTCACTCAGTCTCATGTCCGATTAACACCTTTCTCAAAAATGAATGTTAATTTGGCAACACAGGCTATGAGTGCCTCTGTTGTACGGGCCCTGACAAGTTATGAAGAGGACAGCCGTTTCAAAGATTTAATTAACCCTGAGTTGAAGAACTTTATACTTAAAGTAATTACTTTTTTTGACTGTCTAAATGGAAGCAATGACCCTGATGGGAAACGAAACAAAACTAATAAATACCTGCAGCCCTACTGCAGTGTTCAAGATGACCGCTTCAAAATCCTCACTGCAGATATACTTGAATTTTTTCAGGAATGGCACGATGATGCTGACCAGCAAGTTGGTCTCTCAAAGGAAGCCAAAGAAAGAAGAACAATAAGTGAACAATCATACCAGTCTCTTCATGTTACTATCCTTGGCTTCTGTGGTGCAGTCAAATTCCTTTTAGGCAAAGGAGCACCATCAATTGATGCTAAAAAGTTCAACCAGGACAAGTTAGAGCAATTCTTTGGTTTAATGAGAATGGCTGGAGGGGCATCAGATAATCCCACTCTTCAAGAAGTTCAGCGCAAAACCTTAGCCTATGTTCCACAAAAAGCCGCTGCTCTCCCAAAGAGAAAAGGAAACACGAAGGGAGAAAGGAGAGTATTAGAAGTGAACCAAGAACCCTTACCGTGCAGACCGAGGAAACAAAAAAAATAAAACAGTATTGCAGCACCATAAGATACATGTGTGTGCTTTGATTTTTAAAATAATCTTATTTTCCTTAAGTTTGAGAGATTTTGTGTAAGTTTGTTCCCCAAGTGATGTATTAGTATTGTTTGTTGCTGTCTTTTACATTTTAAGTAATATTGTTAGATCCTGCTATGTGAGCTTGTCTATGGGTCCACTAGAAAATGTTACAAATATATGTTTCCATTAAATCAGGATTTATTAATATTTTTCTGAGTACAAAATAGAATTAATTTCGTTTAAGGTCAGTGCGAAGGGCATACTTCTGTATCCTTGCATTTGATGATTTATCCCTTTCTCTACCTACTTCAAGTCTCAATGAAAGGTTACACAATACACTAACAATGTCTTTCATAAAAATAAGGGATTCCAATTCAGATAAATAGGGACTTGTTAGTGAGTGCCATATCTCCAACATTTCTGATTTGTCATTCTTACTAAACAATGTATTCAGAACAGTATCTGAATTGACAGGTTCACCATTGACAATCATTGCTTCAATACTGCTTTCCAACAAAGAAAAGTACTTTAGAATGATAGGCGCTAGTTTAACTTTCACAACTCCATTTTCATCTTCCTCCCAAGTTTCATTTGAAATAATATCTTCAACACAAGGACTACGGTCTACTTCAGGGCCATCAACAAAGCATACTCTAATGCTGGCACACCGTGCCAACCAAAGTTTTGAACCATTCTTTAAACCTTTAATGTAATATTTTTGAACTAACTTACTCATGTGAACATAAAATGCTGTTGCCTCTTGGCTATCAGAATTAAAATTTAATGGTTGAATATTACTATTCTGCTCCTCTTGAGGCACTCTCATTTCAGAGAAAACAAAATTTACAGTTTTATCTACCACTTTAGAGAGTAAACGGAACAGAATCATTTTAGCTAAATTCTGATTAGTGAGGGCAGAGCTAATAGTCCGGTGGCTACTGTCGCCAAAAGCTGTTAATACTGCACTCAATGACTCATCTACCAAATTTTGCACAGTTGTTCTAGGGTCCATTCTGAACAATTTTGCTCGATTAGACATTTGATCCGACCTTGCAAACGCCTGCTATGGCCAATTTTAGTCCAAATTTTCGGAATTCCGCCTTAAGTTGTCCAAATTGGTCAACTGGCAACCAGTGGTTCGATCTTGATGTTCGAACATGTTTTTCCGACTAAGTCGGATGTGCTGAACACGATGGCGTTGAGCAATTGAAGATATCTCTTACCGTTTGGAAAATATTGAGGGTTGTTTCTTAAGTTTTGTTAAGTGAAAATTTGTCAATTTCGCTCTTTCCTATATTTGAGCACTTTAAAACCGGAATTTCGAAAAAGGACCTTTCCTATTGGCTATTGTACACTACCTGACGAGTAGAACGCAAAAAATCGGAAGTCTCTAGCACTTATGGTTTTCCCGCTATGCCCTCTCAAAGTTGACGCTGCGCGACTCCCTGCAGGAAAAGCCCCTAAGGGGCAGATAGGCAACCCGCCCGACAAAATGCCAAAAACGACGAGAAATCGCCCGTTTTCGGCCG